CCGGGTGGATGCGGAGCGGAGTGCGCAGGTGCGGCGGGGCTTGTGAGCGCTGGGTGAGGAGCGGCGGTGCTCTCTGGCAGGCGGCGGTCCGCGCGTGCTCAGGTGAGGAGGGGATGTGCGCGCGAGCAGGAGGGAGCCCGGCTCAGGTGGCGGCCTGGTGCTCGGGCCACGACGGGCTGTGACTCGGATGAGCCGGAGCCCCGTGCACGCAAGGGAGGAGGAGGTGTTGGCGCAGTTTCGTCCGGCGCGGCGTGGGCGAGCGCTCCCGGGCCGTGCTAGCGCGGGACCGAGCCGCCTGCGGGGCCGCGGCGGGAGCTTCCAAGGCCAGGCTCCGCACGAGCTGGCGGGCTCTGTGTCCTGAGGCCGTCACTGAAGCCCTCTTCCAGCGGTGGGTGCAGGCAGAGCCCCCCCCCCCAAAGCCAGGGAGCCGCCCCCCACTTCCAGCTCCTAAAATAACGAGCATCTTACCTCTCCTGGCACATGCATAGTTACACTTTTAAGGGCCGAATTGCCCGGGCTGGTTTGCAACAAAAAGCAAAGAAACGGAGAGGTTGGAAGTGGGGAACCTTTCTCCCCGGAGCGGGGAGACCCGCTCGCTGCCTGGCGCTTCCGCTGTGTGGCGCTGTGCTTGGTGCCTCGGCTCGGGCCCCCATCGCGCCCGTTTGGCAGACGACGAGACTGACCTGCTGAGAAAGGGGCAGAACCAAGCTTCCACCCCAGGGCCATCCGGCAGCATGAGGTCGATACGGGAACAGCCCGGCCCACAAAGCTTGTATTTGGGGGCCAGGAGTGGGCACTGAGCCCCGTCCCGGCACCTGGCCGGCCCTCCCAAGCCCCACAGCTCATGAATGCCACAGGCCGGCCTGGTAAGTGTGCTTGGCCTCTGGACCCGTCCCGTCGGGTGAGCAGTGCAGCTCCCACCCCTGACCAGCTGAGTTCTTTCAGTACTTTTCGTCTTTAAATCCGGGGTGGGCCGTTTCTGTGTTTCTCAGTCCTGGGGCTCCTGGCACCAACAAGTTTCCAAAGCAGAAACTCTTCTGGTCCAGTGATACTGCAGCCGAATCCGATGCCCTGGGTGCCTCCTGCTGAGGCACATGGTTAAGCCCTGGCTACATACTGAAGGGTTGGCGGTTCACGCCCACTCAGCTGCCTGGGAAGAGGCCTGGTGATCTTCCAAAAGTGGGTGGACTGTCAGGCTCCCCAGTCAGCTGCCTGGACTGGCTTTCGAGACCCACGGAGAGGACTGTGCTCCTGAGGACGGGTTTTGGCGTGGCACAGGGCCTAGTGGCGTGGGTAACGAATGGCTCCATGGTGGAATTCTCTCTCGTATTCCGTGCAGGAGCCCCGGGTCTATCCCCAGCTGGTGTACTCATGCAGACCTCTCCCCACACCCCCACCTGTTGCTAGGATTCTGAGTGGTTTCACGGGTGCTTCCAGACTAAGGCAGTAGGAAGGAGGGGCCTGCAGTTGGCTTCTGAAATCAGCCAGCCTGTGGGTCACAGCGGTCCACGGCAGGTCGGGGTCTGGTGCATTTTGTCCCATTGTGCGTGGAGTCACTGTGAGTCGGGGGCCGACTGGATGGCAACCGACGACAACATAGCAAAGATACTCTGTGATGAGGTGGTCTCTCCCCACCTGGCTGGTGGTACAGTGGATAAGGCATTTGGCTGCCAACCAGAAGGTCCATGGAAAGGTGGGGCAATCTACTTCCATAAAGATTTATAGCCTCAAACCCAGTGGGGGTCACTATGAGTCATCATCGACCCGATGGCAGTGGGTGTGGGTTTTTGGTATTAAGGTCTCCGTCTGCCTTTAGTCCTAAATACTAGGTTCTCCAAGTCTCCCTCGTCTCTGTGTCCCCTGCAGGACTTTGTTCATTGAGTTGAGAAGAATCAAGGTGGCCCTTGGGAACTTAAGAGTCTAGAGATTTCAAGGGGCCAGGTCCAGAACAAAAGCATCCACTCTGCTGAGACACGGCCTCACAGAAGCTAGAGGTAAGCATGGCTGGCGTTGCTGATCACGCTCATCGGTGACTTCCTGGCTTTACGAAGGAGAAAAGCTGAGCGGGCCTCCAGCTCTCAGTGCGGCTACTGCCTGTGAGTCCTGGAAGTGAGATAAGTGCCCCCGGAACGTCTCCCCCTCCTGTCCTGCCAGCCACCAGCTGCCAGGGATTTAACTCGTCCATGGCCCAGTTCCTGGGTCAGCAGGTGAGGATTCAAGGGTAACGAATCCTGGAGTAAGCTCAGTGGTTAGGTGCCTTTGTTTAACGTTCCGTCTCCTGTCCTTGGCACACCCTCTGCCCGGCTCTCTCCTGCTTAGTTCTGCGGTTGGATCGTGGAGGAGGGTGCTGGTGCCGTGTTGGTGCCAGGGGTCCTCCCCCTGCTGCTTCTGTGTGACTCGGAGCCGTGGGGAGAACCCGTCCCCTCCGCTTGACCCTTCTGTGTGGCAGATATGGAGCAGCGAGGGACTTCATACTCCTTTCTAGCCATGGTCTTCGTGACCCCACGCAGTGATTGGGTGGGACCGTGCGCATAGGTATTGGCGGCCCGCCACGGGTTTCGGTAGCCCGCTAATGATGCAGATCATGAGCATGGAACTCCTGGGGGCGGGACCGTGCCCAGCAGGTGTATGGAATCCTTGTAGGGGATTGGTCAGTTTTGCCATCCTGCTAGGCTTAAAGAAGGGCTAATCCCAGACCAGAGAAGGCACCATCCAGAAAGAAGAGCCAGGAGTGGAGCGCCTCATTAGGACCTAGAGTCCCTGTGCTGAGAACCCACTAGACCCAGGAGACAGAGTTCATACCAGAGATGGTGCGAGACAGCTGGAAATGGCGGAGCTAGGAGCCCAGCGGGAGATGGCACGGTGGGCTTCCTTGCCCATGGGATGAGGGCTCAGGGCCTCTGAGCAGGAGGCTTGCTGGCAAAGTCGGGTGCATTGGCACTTCTGGGTAACGTGAAAGACGGTTGAAACACTCCCTGAAGCAGAGGCAGGCCAAGGAGCCAAGGGCCAGAGAGCGGGACGTCCACAGGCACAGTCGAAAAGCTCACTTCTATGAAGACTGACAACCTTGGAGACCCTGTGGGCAGTTCCACTATGTCCTCTAGGGGCGCTGTG